GCCGAACTCGAGCATTTGATTTCGAGTTGAGCTCGGGCTATTGTATTTTCTTATCGAGTCGAGCTCGAGCCCCATAAATCGAGCTCGACGAGCTCGAGCAGTTATAAAAAAATTCAATCCTGCTCGATAAGGCTAATGCTATGCTCGACTCGACTCGCCTCATTTGTAGCCCTAAGATTGAGTATTCTCCCATTGACGAGTGTGTTTTTGGTTTGATGTGCGTTCTTTGTTGTGTTTTCTAAGCTACATTTAAGTAGGCCTCCTTTTTTGGGCTAGTGAATCGAGTGGAAGTATGTGTTTCTTTATATAAAATCTATTATTTGTTAAAGAAAAAAAGAAAAGACAACCCATTTCTATATCTAATCAATCTCTCGCACAGAACTAAGTGACGGACTACTCGAAACAAACTCTCCCTCGTTTTCTCCGCACCCAAACACCCTCCTCTTTCTCCACGATTCCCCAGCAACCTCCACTCCACCACCACAACCGCCGCCGGCGTCAATGGCTGCTTCCCTTTCCTTCTCCTCCTCCGTCTCCTCCTCCTCCACCCCCCTCCTCCGCCCACCCTCCCTCCTGCTTGGCCGCCGCCGTGCCCCCCGCCTCCTCACTGTCCGCGCAAAGATCCGCGAGATCTTCATGCCTGCCCTCAGCTCCACCATGACCGAGGGCAAGATCGTCAGCTGGGTTAAATCCGAGGGTGACGTTCTCTCGAAGGGCGAACCCGTTGTCGTCGTTGAGTCCGACAAGGCCGACATGGACGTCGAGACCTTCTACGATGGGATACTGGCCGCCATTGTCGTCAACGAGGGAGAGACTGCCCCCGTAGGCGCGCCGATTGGCCTTCTGGCCGAGACGGAGGACGACATCGCCGAGGCTAAGGCTAAAGCCGCGGCCCAATTAACGTCAGCACCTCCGCCGGCCAAGACCGAGGCGTCTGCTCCAGTCGCAGCGAAGGCCGAATCTCCATCTCCGGCGAATGCTCCAGCTTCAGCTTCGGCAACTCCGGGGAAGGTTGTGGCGACGCCGTACGCGAAGAAATTGGCCAAGCAGCATAAGGTGGACATCAACAAATTGGCCGGCACAGGGCCGTTCGGGAGGATTACGCCGGAAGATGTGGAGAAGGCGGCTGGAATCACTCCAAAGAGGAATGTTACAGCGTCCGCTGGTCCACCTACACCTGCGCCAGCGCCATCCCCACCAAAGGTTGCGACTAGTTTTCCCGAGATCCCAGGGTCAAAAATAGTGCCGTTCACCGCAATGCAGGCTGCTGTGTCGAGGAACATGGTGGAGAGCCTGAGCGTGCCGACTTTCAGAGTCGGTTACCCCATTGCCACAGACGCCCTTGATGCTCTTTACGAGAAGGTACTTTTTTTGTTCTTACCATTATAAAATACCACTTACTGATATTGTTTTGAGGTGGTTGTTAATTGGGTCCTAATTTGGTGGTTTTATAGTGAGATGCATCATAAGATCAGTTCAATTTCCAGTCTTGCTATGTTAAATAAATGGGCAGATGGATGCAACTCTAATCTTGCAACCATTGCAAAGAAAAAGGGAAAAAAAGACATCAAACTTCTTATTTTTCAGCAGATGATGGCTAAACTTTTCAATGACGAGAAAATTTTATACGGTTATTCTTCATAGGTTAAGCTGAAGGGTGTTACTATGACTGCACTGTTAGCAAAAGCTGCAGCAATGGCATTGGTACAACATCCAGTGGTGAACGCAACGTGTAAAGATGGAAAGAGTTTTACTTACAACAACAGTGTTAATATTGCTGTGGCTGTGGCGATTAACGATGGGTTGATCACGCCTGTTCTTCAAGATGCTGATAAGGTAAAATGCGTGGATATCTAAATATTAAGGATAATAACTTAAACTACCCTTTAGCTTCGTGGTTTTCACATATTACACCTGTCTTCCTGGGTAACTCAATGAATTTCCTAAAATCCATGGTGACTTTTGAATCCACTCACATTTTGCCCAGACCATGAGTAGAAATTGAATTTGCTGATGCTGTTAAATGTTTTTCAGTTATACCTTGCAACATGCAGAACTATTACGAATGTCGGCAAAGTTTTTGTTGGCAATTGTAAAACATAGAAAAATGAGTGATGTAAATGCTAAATGAGATTTTGGAGTAGTTACAGTATCATGAAATGTTGAGGTTGGTATTTTCAAATTATTTGACTATGTCAGCAAATTTTGTGTTACCTATGCTAACAGCTGGTGCAAACATGTAAGATGCTCGAACCTCAAGTATGAAAATTTTATCTGGAGTCACCTTATGCTTTCGCTTTTCCTTCAAAAGAACACATCTAATCTTGTCAAACTTGAAGAGTAAATTTTGTTTTTATTCCTAACTAGTTACTTCTTTGGGCATTCATTTTATCTTCACTTAGTGACTGTTTATGGATGTTCCTGTCTCATTTGATCATGTATAGTTGGATCTCTATCTGTTGTCGAAAAAATGGAAAGAGCTGGTCGAGAAGGCTCGGGCTAAGCAACTTCAGCCCCATGAGTTCAATTCAGGTGATTCAATTTATAGTGGTGGTTTTAATTTCTTGAGAACACGTGTAATTGGTGTTTTGAGGCTCTCCACGGTTGTATCAAGTGCAATGAATTTGTTTTTGGCATGTAGGGACTTTCACATTATCAAATCTGGGCATGTTTGGAGTGGATAGGTTTGATGCTATCCTACCTCCAGGACAGGTGATGTTCACGATCTTACAATAAATGTATACTGAAGTTGATGTCATAATGGAAATTTATGCATTTGCTTAAGTTGTTTGGGTTATCATCATCAGGGTGCTATTATGGCTGTGGGAGCATCAAAGCCTACAGTTATAGCCGGTAAAGATGGATTCTTCAGTGTTAAAAATCAAATGCTGGTAAGTGTTTGTGGAGGAAAAAACTCAAACAGACAAGATAATAGAAGAAAGAAAACATATGATAACTATCTATGCATTTTGTTTCGTCAATGGAACCTTCTATGATGAGATAATCTTCGTGTTGTAGGTCCTAACTTTTACAGTACATAATTTCATTTGCGCTGTGAAATAGTTACCCACAGCCGAATTAAATAATACGTGTTGCCGCCAGTTCTCAAGTCTATATATATATTTCTCTCTTTAATGAATTGCAAGTGTTATATGTTTGTATTGGATACAACAAATCCAATTTTTAGAAGTTTAGACCAAAACCCTTGTGAGTGACTGTCCTTTTTGGTGTATTTCTGAATTTTTTCTTGTTGAGAAGCAGTAAATGTCCATATTGTTTCACAAGAATTAAGTTTTCAGCTGGCACCTCATATAGTTTAGTGTCTACTATGTTCCATATCTTGCTTCCCTACTTTTTTGTGTGTGATGTGCGCAATAAGTTACGAGGTTTTCTTTATATATCGTATATCCTGCCTTCTGCTTGTGGTATATCACGGTAACTGAAGGACAGTCGAATGATATAAACAAACACTGAATCAAATGGTCGAAAATAGTCAATCAAATAGTTCCAATTTCCTTTTTCCAGGTGAATGTTACGGCTGATCACCGAATCATCTATGGGGCTGACTTGGCTGGTTTCCTTCAGACATTCTCAAAGATCATTGAGAACCCAGAAAGCTTGACGATGTAGAATAAAGGTTTAGTTTGATAAGAAGGGTAACAGAGCCGACGCTGAGTAAAAGGTTCTCCGATTTCAAGGAGTCTGTTGTTTTATTGTTGTTGCTTCTTTCGATTTTAAATTATTGGAGGACCATGCAATTGACCATGATCAAGTTTTGGAGAGGCGCTTTAAACGTGTGGAAATAGCTAGATGCCGTTTTATCGTTTTTCACTTTAATCGTGTACGTTTGAAGGAGTATGGATTTCATTCTTCTGGTAATGGAAATAATTGGTGTCACTATTGAAAAATTTGGTGTTGAATTTCATCGTACTCTTGGCACTGATACTACAACATTTTTATGCATGCCCAAAGGAACAATATAGCATTCTAAAAGTGAGATTATTTCAGATTCATGTGTTCTGCAAATCTAAATTTGAACACTTAATCAGCTAAAACCTTTGCAATGACGCCAAGAAGCTATATATGACTTGGCTATTTACATAAACTATGGTTTCTTAATTTTGTAAGCATAACTTGACAAGAGTACTGCGTAATAAAGCAGCATTCCGAACCCTCAGCCTCGGCCACTCAGCTCAACCTCTTCATCCCCTTGGCTCCCACGAGCCTGAACTGGTTTAAATGTATAATACTTGGCACAGATGAGATAATAAATGAAATTGAAAAACTGCAGCAACGTAATCAGCCAATACAGATACTCCAACTTCCCTCGATTCAAGTTCCGGTCGGGCAGCCACTCGCTAAACCTGTGCACCAACGTCACCAAAAGCGTGCTCGTGTAGTTTCCGGCAGAAATGGAGAGCCAGAACAGGGCGGGGGCTGTGCTGCGCATGCTCTCGGGCGCCTGATCGTAGAAAAACTCGAGATGCCCGATGGACATGAACGCCTCCGCCACCCCGTGC